GGGCGTGCCGCTGGGCGCGGCTCGCTGCGCGGCCTCCCGGGCACAGCGCGGGAAGCCAGGCCGTCAGCCCCGTTTTTCCCCCTGCCCTATTAAACCAACAGCTGCAGGAGCGGCAGCATGTGTCCTGTTTGCAGCGCTGAAATGATACCAGGACACTTGGGCACGGATGGAGGAGAGCGGATGGTGCCCCGGTGCGCTGAAGGGCTGAACAAGGATCACTGCTCCTGTAAAGCTGTATGCAGGTATGTTCATCAACAGAGGCATTGCTGGATTAAAATAAGGTGAAACTCGTTTAGAAATCAGAAACTCGCTGAGAAAAAAAATCCCACGTTAAGAGATCACAGCACTTGGAAAAGATCACACAGAAAAAAATCCACTGGAATGCACTTCAGTATGTCTTTTCAGTAACTAAGATGTTGGTTTCGACCTCTCTTCCTGCTGCCGTGGATTCATCTGCTGGTAGAAAGCTTCAGTCTTTAACTTCACACAACCTTCACACAACCAGATGCAGCAGCTTTGCTGGAACAAACACTCCAGTTTCATCCTATGCTATGTTTTGTAAAAGCAGTTCATATGCAGATAGTTCAAGGCCTTGCACACAACATTGCACTCCATGTTTTTATGCACCAGCTGGATGGTTCAGCTCTTAAGAATGTACCTACTACTCTTTATTTTATATTTCAGAAGTATGTTTGCTAAGTTGACAAAATTCACTGTAGGACTACAGAAAACTGTTTATATAAACTGATTCATTTTATCCTTAAGAACTTTAGGATTATATGTATTCACCAATAGTATTTATATATAAAGCAAACTGCTGCAACTTGACTTTGGCTGTATAAAAAGGCAATTTGAACTTAGGAACTTATGAAGTATCATAAGCTGGGAAAGGCAACAGGATGGTTGGAGGACTGAGAAGGTAAGACAGTTAAACTTTATGCTGTATCTTACTGGTTATAGCCTCCGAAATTGTAATAGTGCAATAGCAACTCATGTTCCCCTTCTGACATGAGGGAAAGCAGTACTGCATTTGCACATAAGGCCTGCACACCACTGGTGGTTTTCACCTCACTCATTGTAAGAGGTCACTAAAGGACGAAAAGTCCTATTTAGTGCAATACAAGTCTTCCTACTCAAAGCCACACAACTGCTTGATGAGGATTACTCAGACTTACCTCCAGTTGTTTTGTTAACAATCTGTGTATTAATGGTACTGTTTTTTCCACTTCCCTAGGCAGCATCAAGAGAGAATAGGATTTGTTGCACCAACACTGAACCAAGACTAAGCTTCAGCCCATTATATGGAACTGCTGAAAGAGTAAGCTGCAGTACTGAAAGCAATCAGTCTTGACTGTGTGAGACCATGCCTCTCACAGAAGGCAAATGATGTCTTACTTCAAAAACTTCATGAAATGCAAACTTGTTGATTCACTGTTCTTACAGCTGTTACACTTGAATAACTGGGGAGAGGGAAAGCTGTGGTTCCTGCGCACACCACATTAAGGTCTATAGTTTGATTGACTTTGAAGACTACAGAAGTAAAAAGAAAAGAAAAGCAAAAACATTCTTTTAGCATACAGGGGCTTTTTCCTCCTGATAGCAGGAAGAGGTTTCTAGATGAATGGTGAACTAAAACTTAACAAGTACAGACCAGAACTTAAAGAAAAACATTTTTTTCACAGCTACAAAAAGCCTCTGAAAATGTGAAGTTGCCAATAAAAAGGAATGCAGCACCAAAGTACATAATACAGCAATACTTGTATCTTATTGCAACAGCAATAATACATGTCTGTCACTAAATCAGTAGAAAACTAACTTACAAAGGCAAACAGCGACCTAATTTTAGTTATGCTGCTCCATGCACTGAGTGCGTATAATTTTATTTTTACCTCTGTCTGCAGAAGTGAGGTGTACTTCAGGTTGTAAACTTGGGCAACTTTCATAATTTAAATAAAATATTGGACCTTTTGCTTTATACTGTATGTGTCTAGATTAAGACAAGTGGCTGGTAACTTGTTCTGCTTTTACTCCACAGTGCTTCACAGTTGTGTGCGTGATCTGGTAGGATGGTGAGACTACCACATCTCCTTGGATAAGTATCAGAACTTCAACTTGAACAAATCTGGATTAAGTTCTACTCATTTTAGAGGAGCCCTCCTATCCAACATATGAACAAGGTAGTTTAAAAGAAGCACACTGCTTAAATTGACAATGATTTATTGTGTTTAGGAACATTCAGTAAATACCAATCGTTTAGCTTCAGTTTGGAAATCCTTCCCCATCAAAAATCAGTTCTTTGTGTTGTTTTTTTCTGGCATAGACTCCATTGCCAGCAATGGATGTATCAGAAAAAGAAGTTAATAAATACAAACAGACGGCAGTTTTCTAAACATACCTCCTCTTTTAAAGGCGTGATACAGATTTACTAAACAAATCTCAAGTTCTTCACAGAAGAAAATTTTGCTACAAGCTGTCTCTGAACATTGTTTTCTTCACTAATGCTGGTAGTTTATTTCATGGAGTATGGTATTTTTGAACAGTAATGATGAATCATTTAAAAACAAGCCGTTTCCCCCCTTTTCCTTTGCCAGATGTATGCTGAGACATGTAGCTAGTACTGAAATGTATGAATTTAAATGGTGTGCCTCTTGTCAAGCACTTAATGGCAAACATGAAGAAACAGCAATATGGTACTTTTTTTACTAGGGATCTGGGGGATTTATTTCTTCATCTTGATTTTAAACCACTGTTCAAGTGTTAAAGGTATCATATTTAAGTGTAACAGTTGTTTTGCGTAACTTTCTGTGAAGTGTAAAAACACAACAGAAGATTCCTGTTTCTGATGAAAATAATTTTCAAGTACTTAAATTTGAATATCCCTCTGAACTCCATTCATATCATATTAAAAATGTGTATAAAAGCATGAAGACTACAGAAAACCAATTAACATTACAGAATTAATCTTGAATAAGTTTTTCCACAACTGTATTTTACATATAACCAAACTCCTGCTTTAGCAAAGGCAAAAAATAAATTCTCTCCCAACTATTTATACTTAGGAATTACCTTGCTGTGGGACTAGATAGTTCAGTCTACAGTCCCTCTAACCCACAGTGTACTCTTAGCTGTATCCCTTTGTGATTTAGGGTCTTGGAAGTTTTCAGCAAACCTCTCTCTTGCTTTATCCCAGTTCTTTTTATTCTTGCTCTGGACAAGCTGAACATCTTCAATTGAGATCGGTCTTCCAGTACCTAAACCTGCATGCTTCTGATGTAACTCCAGTTGGATCTGTCAAATACATGAAATACTGTTGTAATTGCAAGTTAGGTATTCTAAATACTACAAATTCTGGTTTTCTAATACACATGCCACCCCCTCTCCCCAAGCACTTCTCTTTCATGTTCTAAAACACCTAGATGAACAGTACCATGAAAATGATGTGTCAGACCAGCATTTCTGGAACTATGATCTAGTCCTAAATAATGTCCCCTGCCACAAAAATTACGGTGAAATACACCTCACTGAGTGAGCGGCATATGATCCCTATGCTGGCTAGTTTGACAACACAGGGTATGGTATGGCTCTAAGCAGTGCTACTGCCAAAAGACAACACATCTCTGGTGACAAAAATGGGCTAACATGGCTGCCACAGAGGCCCACAACTTGCTGGCTATAGTGACTTCTGCTAGCTTTTTCTCTCTCAATGCCCATCATCTAGTTCAATTTTTGTGCTACGTCAGCCTCTAAGAAAGAATTCCACCCTAAACCGATCTTCAGATCACATCACTTAAATTATTCCAATTTTCCTTCAGACTTTGTATCCAAATATGAGATTATTAATTAAATGCCTAGAAGCTGTCTGTCCTCCTTTGCTTAGTTTCCTAATGAACACAGTGTAGTGAAGGGACAACAGTATTGAAAAATTTCAAAATACCACATTAGTCAAAGAAAAAATAATTTGAGATTAGTTCTACTGAGATTATTCCTTCTTAACCAGGTTTTTTGTAAGTTTCAAATGAATAGTGGCATACAATTAGATACTTTTCACTACAAATACATTCCTATTATTTTTGTCTCAAGTGAAAACCAGAAAGACCTACCGGATCCTTTATGCCACCACCATCCTTTCCCAGACCTTCCCCCTTCTTCCATCCCATCTTCTCCAACATTTTATGTCCTTTGTTGCTGTTGCTGATTTCACTTCGAAGAAAGTTTAAGATAAGCAAGAGTTAATACAAAGAGTATGCTTTCAAATACTGAACAACAGAAATGTGCAACAGAAATATATGCAGAAATCAGGAATCAGTTCATGAAGAGTCATCCAGAAGAACAAGCCTCAGGTCACTATCAGCTTTCTTAAAACTCCTGAACTACTTGCTTGCTTTAGGAGTTAAAAGATACATCATGGGTAGGAGGGTATGCATTACAATATGGAAAAAGCAGTATCACTGCCAAATCATCCTACTGCACCTCTTTCATCATCTCACACTTCCTTTTATCAATTTACATGCACCTGCAAGTTCGTGCTGCTTAAAAAAACCCAACTACAGCTAGAGGCAAAGTAACAACATCAAGTGTCATTTGGGAGGTAAATGCATGTCCTGTGAGTGGCTGGATATTGACAGTGAGGGAAGCTGCAGGTGAAAATCTGCAGGTGAAAAACCTGCATGTGTACTATTACTGGGACTGAACAGGAAAAATAAAAATTGAACCACTTGAAAAACAGACACTATTGAAGATGTCACTAGTGCAGCTGGAGAGTTCTTTACATTTTTGAGTTGGTAAGGAAGTGATGTTAGCATCCTTACTGCCATCCTTAACTCCTCACCTTGCATATATTTTTATATGGAAGGTGATGAGTTAATAAATAAAAGCACTTGAAATGGGAAGTGTGAAAAGCTTAAAATTTTCTAGCTTTCCTAACACAATAGATACAGGTAATTTGTAATTTAATGAACTGCATGCTAGTAACAAATTGATACTTATTTCATTATAATTTTTTTAAGATTCACAAGAGAAGGGCATGGGGGATACTTTCCCCCACCCCCAACTTACATATGAACAGAAGCTGAACTGTCGTCTCTCTGAAAGGTTCCTTCACTTCCAATGGTTTCTCTGCGTTTTCCTGCTCTGTCTTTGTACTTTGGATTTTTCACTGCCTTGTTGTCTTCATATTCTATATTCTTTCCAAGTAGATTTCATCGCATCAAGACAAAAAGAGCAGGGTTTAAATTCTTTATTTTTGTTAACTTCCTTTTCCCGTCCAAAAGTATGGGAGCTTCAGCCTTTTTTATTAATCCTGAATCTTGCAACAAAACCTGCAGTCCTCACTTAGTATTTTCTTAGCTTACAGGCATACCTTGTAAACCATATTACTGTCATCATCGTGTAACATTGCCAAATTCAGTAATTTCTCATAAGCTGTAAATAAAATAACAGATTCTCTTGAATCTTCTCTTGGTATGACGAGTCAATCTCTCCGTATTAAGCAGAAAATCATGTGCACATGCCACTGGCTTTCTATATAACCATTTAGCCTGTTGCTCAGCACCTACTTTTTTTCAGAATAAATGTCAAAATTAAGTAGGTTTACAGATTCTGTATCAGTATTATTTTGGTACCTGAAGAACTTGAAAGAACTATGGCATTCTGTTTTCTACATGAATACTTAGTACAAATGCTGGAAGGAACTGCATGTTAAAATTATCTCCATAAAAGTAATTTGAATACATATATATTATATTGCCTGTATGTTCATGTTAGTATTCTTCTATGGACTTAAAGACCTGAAAAAGTACCCATTCCCTTCCATAATTTTTTCAGTTGCTCATTATGTTTCCTTTCCAAATGAAAGACAGAGCTGCAACTCAGTGAAAACTTAATCTACAGAAATAAAAACAGAAGTGTCTTGCAAAATCTTGACTTCCAAAGATTAGGAATCTTGTACACTTTGAAAGCATCTTTTTTTCTAATTTTCAGTGGAACATTCATGCTCTCTTATCATCATCTTTCTTTGCAGAGGTTTGTAAAGAATAATTATTTAGGGTATAAAAGACAAACGATGCTAAGTTTTAGGGCATTTGAAAACCTCCCTTATTCAATGAAGTCTATGGCTTAAAATAGGAATCACAAAGCACTTAAAAAAAAAAGTAAGAACCACAAGATTACAAAACTTAATCGACTTCTACTGTAAACTCACCTGTAAACCATATTTTACCCGTATTTGTTTTAATGCTTTTCTTCTGACTAGCTCTCTCTCTTCTTTGCTAAGTGCTGGACAAACTAAAAGGAAGAACACAGGATTGAATTTGTAATTACTAATATAACATTTTGAATCTAAGACAAATGAGAGTTTTTGTTCTGACATTATTATACACAGATGCATATGCCAAGAATACATCATTATGTACAACTATCACCAGCTGACAAGAAAATTATATGAAAACTGAACTAATTATTATTTTTATCAAGTAAACAGCCATAATAAAAAATGTATCCTGTGATAATATTACTAACCAGAAGACTCTTTTTTCTTGTCCAGGCGAAGATGTGCTCTAACTTGTCCTGGTTCACATCCATCACAAGTATCACTGCCAGGGTGAATATGAAAAGAAAGCACAGTTTCGCCAATCTTCACCTCATCTCCATGCTCCAGGACGTAGGGATCACACTTTGTTTTAGGCTACACCAAAAGAAAGTTTTGCAGCTAAGTTAAAAACTCATGAAGGACACAAACTCTATTTCATGCACACTGCTTACAACTCAGTAGTTTAGTGTGGTCTCACAAACGTAGGCAACTGTTTAACTACAGTGGGTATTTCACTCTAGCAACTGTAAGCATAGTGGATTTTTTCTAGTATAACCAAACATTAAGTACTCCCAAGCAGCCCTAAAATCAGAAGGGAACCAAGGCAGGCATTAATGTATGAAAGAAGACATACAATGGCATTTTAAGTGATTTGCCATAAAACATTTAAAGTGACCACAAGATTAGTTCTCTGCAATATACAGAGCACTAAAACAGTAGGTACTCACCTGGAGTATCTGATTTCCATTAACAACTGTTCCATTCTGACTGCCTTGATCCACAAGAACATAGTTTTGCAAATCATGGTCGAAATATACTTCTGCATGAAACTGACAAATAGAAGCCTAAG